AATGGAACAGTCTCTGTGCCTCTCAATTTAAAGATGTTTTAGGCATATTCCCAAACAGCAACTTTCAAAATATATTTTCCCAAGTGGCAACTTCCCAAATCTGCAATTTTCCAAGCGGCGACTTCCCAAGTCAGTCCTAGCTGCAGCGTTTGGTCCCTAGCCCTATCTAGCCGCAATGCTCGGCAACTAGCCCCTTCTAGTCGGCCCCCTTATCCATTGTAGTAGCAGTGCTCGGCTGCAACTGCAGTCTGCGCCGCCTCAGAGGGCCTAACCTAACCTTTGGGAAATCGCCGCGGGGGAAGTTGCCACTTGGGAAATTCTTTTAAGAGCTTAATAAATTTAAATTTTGATGTTGGATAAGTGAAGAAAGGAATTAAGTCTTTGCCACAAATTCAAATTTTTATATTCCCTATATCTTTGCAACCGGATGATGAAACCCTTTGATACTTTAATCTTAGATAACTTGATCTAACAGAATTCATAGTTTGAAAAATTTAAGATTCGCAATATTGGGTTGCAAAGAAAAAAGTTATTACAAAAATACGAGTTTGTGGCAACTACACTCGATTCCTTTGAGTAATGGCGAAAAAACCAAGATCCCCCCCCCCCATAAAAAGGCTGGCTATGTGAGGAGCGGTAGGGAGGGGGGGGCACCATGCCTGATTTCCCATCCCTTCCACTCTTTATGCAGATTCATTCAATTTTCAAGGATAAATTTTACACAAATTTGTTCTCTTTGTGGAGGTCAATTAACAATTGACAATTCAAGGACCTAGGACAAGTTTTTCTCGCCTGAAAAGAAACAGAAAAAAGAAACAGAGAAACAAAAAACTAAAAAACACATTGACTTCATACCGTGTTTCCCAAACATCTTATTAACGCGATAATTTGTAATTATTGTTAAAAACATATCTTATTTTTATCTGTCAAAAGATACCGATAATCATGATAATGGACAATGTTTATTATAATTATTATTATTATGTTTATTATAATTAACATGCACAATAAATTGACTCATTGCGGAATTAATTTTAAACAAGTGTATCGATTAAATCCCACACATAAAGGAATAACGGCCAGATAATGCACACTGCCCCTTGACTAGAAGTATTATATCTCACATACCCATTTTTGGACAAAATTGGCATCACTACTGCCTTAAAGCACTACAGTGGGCCTTGCTAAAACTGCTCAAGGGTTTCAACATAGAACGGTGGTCCTGCAAATATGAGACATTTTGCATGTTTGCAGAGTTGCTAATTTGTACGTCTCAACCTTTTACATTCTTCGCAAATATTTTTTTTCTGTTTTTTCCGTATTTAAAAAAAAATTCTTTCAAATTTCAAATAATTTTTTTCGTTTTTCGGTCCAAAGGTCTAAAAAAATAGCCAATGATGTAAATTCTAAGATTCCATAATTTCAGTGAAATTAAAAACATTTAAACAGAAGTCAAAACTGGCCATCTTCTCAAATCAAAAGTCGTCTTCATAGCATTTATATATTCGACGACGACTGCCACTATTTTGTACTTTGCTTCAGGACATATATATAATATAAATATTAGATGACTTGCATTTATTAAGTTTGGAAGCCCCAAACATGAAATGTATAGCTTTATATTTATACATATTTGCTTACAAATATATTCATATTTATTGTAAATGTATAAAATAAATCTAAAAACAAAGAAACGTGAAATGGAATACTCACAAGAGATAAAAGGGGTTGTTTAACTATTTTAGGAAAGGGGAAGTTTTCTAAAAAATGTTGTAAAAAAGAATATAAAATATAGTATAATGTAAATTATAACAACCAATAACAACCTTTAAAGCTTTCTCTGATCAAGGATAACTTAGATATCACAATTTTTCTAGCTAAAAGTTGAGTGCCTTCGGGAACCACTGACAACATTCGTGTTTAGAATACAACACACTTTTCACACTTTTCATCAGACAAATATAAAAAGTATATCTTTTATCGATGATCAGAAAAAGGTTGAAATGAGACCGTTCTGCATCGGACTTTCTATAAATGAAAAACCATTTCATGATTAAATTGATGTTTTTAACATAGTAATTCAGGACTATTAGTTACAATATAAAAATCTTGATCAGGATGAAACTTTTATAAATTTGAATAGAAGATCAAAACATGAATGAGTTTATTACAGCTCAGACTAACTAAGCTCAAGGTACTAATGCAAGGAAAGTTATTTCAGAGGTGTACACATTTTTTTACTGCAGTGTACTGTCTTTGGGCGGAAAGGTAAACACAAGACGGATGTCACAGCCTGACATGGAATCCATTTTCACAAAAATAATCTATGACATATTCTGGTCATAGGAAACTATTATGTCAATTATCAAAATTATCAAATTTAAATGCTTTTAACCTCCTTGGATATAAGAACAAAGTCCGTCCAGAGAGAACTGGTTTCCCAGGAATGGGTTCACTTTACAGAGTTAAATTCTATAATTACAAGTTTTGGTTAGAGCTTATGCTGCTGCAGGAAATTGAACCTATAAACCAATGAAAAAGCGAATACAAATCTAAATACATGTACATGGAAAATGTTAAGAATGTTTACATGAATGTGTATGTGTACTTTTGTGTCAATTTATGCCAGTTTACGACAATTTATGCCAGTTTACGACAATCTATGCTCGTAAACTAAATTTGAGCCGGTGAATCATTATAATTGTGCTCAGTGCCAGGATAGCACATAGAGGTCAATACCTAGATAGATAGATAGATAGATAGATAGATAGATAGATAGGTAGATAGATAGATAATGAGCCAGCTAAGTAGGAGATATTGGTAAGTTCTTGAAAATGTATAAAAGATGAAAGTACATTGCATGTTCTTGTGTTGATCCAACTCTCTTCAATCAAGTTTTGTATAAAAATATAAAAACTTGATGTTTTCAACACTTTTACAACGAAAGGGAGTAAGTGTTCGCTTAGTTTTAGTAGGAAAAAATTGCTAAGATCTAACTATGATATTACAAAATAATAATTTGAAAATATATTTGAATTTTGACAAATTTGTTTTGTTCGATGAATTTATTCCTATTCTTATTGTCAACGACGCTACCCCCCCCCCCTTTCCCCTAAAATCACCGGAACCTTATTTCCCCTCAAAACATATCAATTATTTCTGGTTAAAGACAGGCCTACAAGCCTTCTGGTTATACTTACGTTTCTGATTTAAAGGCTCAGTATAAATATATATGGTCTTCAATAGATTGATCTTAAAAGACTTCCTTCTCCACCCCCTTCCTTACACTTTTCTCCTATTATAATCCATTTTCATCATATCTCCCCCTCCCAGAGGCGTATTCAGGAGGGGGGGCTAAGCCCTAGACCAGTGAAATTTATTGATTTCAGGGGGTTTCATGCCCCAACGGGTGCTGAGCCCCTGGAAAAATTCATGAATACGCCCTTGCCCCCACCCTCCCCCTTTACCTACCTTTTCCTTTACTTTTTAACCCCCCCCCCCCTTCCTCTCTTTAAATGCAAATATTAATTGTGCTACTGGGTTTGGCTAGGTCACAAGGCCACTACTAATACAGTAGTAAATTTTAAGCACATACAATTATGTATATCTTTATTCAACGTTAGACACTGTTCAATGCATCTTTTTATTTTGTATAAATATACTACACTTTAGCTGAGCTGAGCTGAGACTTCTAGAGGTACCCCTAGGAATATGTTAGCGAAACTTATTGATCACAGTGGTACTAGTTAATTTTTGAACCTCCATTTCAACCAAGCATTTTTCATTTTTGCAAAAAATGAATTTTATGAACATACTTTAGAACTTCAATGAACATGAGACACGTCCATTGTGCGGTGCCTTCCTATTCTATAGTTTTCTGGTACTCACTGTACCTTGTTGTACCAGACTATGAACCTATTCTATAGTTTTCTGGTTCTCACTGTACCTTGTTGTACCAGACTATGAACCTATTCTATAGTTTTCTGGTTCTCACTGTACCTTGTTGTACCAGACTATGAACCTATTCTATAGTTTTCTGGTACTCACTATACCTTGTTGTACCAGACTATGAACCTGAGATGCTAGACCCAAAGTTTAGAAGCCGGATGCAAAGTATGTTGGCAATTCAAGTACTCCAAATAAATGTTCAAAACAACCACATTTTGGCTTTAACTGCCTTGCTCATTATTGGCTTGAGGTTTGGGGGGTGCGGCTCGGCGTTATGTAAAGGAGACTTGTGGGGGGTATTATTAGGCTATGTAGGGGTGAGGGGGGGGGAGAGAGAAGGGGGGTTATGAAAAATGTTGGTGTTCAAAAAGAGTGGTTGTAAGAACGTCTTAATTGTTCTTTAAAAATAGAATTCTATAAATGGAATGTTCGCGAAAAATGAAAGGGGGTATAGGCTTACGGCGAAAAATTAGCGATGGTGATCGCTACTAATCTTACTTCTATCTGTTGCATACTAAAGAACGTATCATCCATACAAATTTAGAAAGTTGCAATATTCGACTCGGATCCGCTAAAAAATCAATTTAATTCCAAACAAATCATTCAGATATTACATCCTTTATTCATCGATTATTTTTCGACGCATTCGTATACAGTTGATACTTTATAATATTCTTTATTTGTTTTATATATAATGCAATTTAAACGACGAATAGTTGGCAGCTAGGTATCTCTGCTCTCGATGTTTTTCCTTGGTTCCAAGTGGCAGAGACACCTAGTGCATTAAGGGCTTTTTTACCAAAATAATACATTTAAACTTCTTTCTAAAAATAAAACATTTCTGTATTTCATTATATGTAAAATTTTTGCTTATATTCATATTTAAGTAATATTTAAAAGACATTATGTTTTGGCGACACTGACCCCATTTTTTGGGACACTAGGTTTGTACACTGTTGACGGCAAAAAGTCCACGAAATACGTCGAATTGATGCACAAAGATCAATTAATTCACGACAAAGATCCTTTATTCTTGTTTTTTTTTCAGAAATATAATTACCTTTTCACCGGTACTCCGCAGTTCAAAGGTCCTTTGTACAGCCAAGTGCAGGGGAAATGCTGTACGACTCTGTACACTAGAATCCTGTACATGATGTAAGGGTTTTACATGATCATGTCGAAGTCCAGCTATAACTTGGATAATGATATTCAGGTCAGTAATACAAGTCGATAAATGTAAAGAAATGGAGTCCTTGCCACAAACTTAAATGTTCTAATCCCAATATCTTCGCAATTTCCTGATCAGTGTTAACTTTTAGCATTTTAAGCTAAACTTATTTGATCTTCCAGATTTTAAATATCTAAGATCAACGACATTGAGTTAAAAAACACTGGATTTGTTTGTGGCAAAGACTTAATTTATATATTTGTTCTAATATCAAACATTTTTTCGAGACAAAAATATAGCTGAAAACATAAAGAAATTGACGCAACTTGAAAATACACTTTAATATGTTTATTTATTCAAATAGCTCTGTACATAATAAGTATTGTGTAAAGTATATGATAGATGATATTATTAAAAAAATAAAATACTAAAACAAGTTGTTCCACGAACTATACATGAATAATAACAATTATGAGGGTAATTCAACCAAATTGAGCAGATATATTCATATGCAAAGGTATACCGTGAATACTAATGTTACCATTTAACCATTTTAAAGACTGGTACTTTTGAAACCCCCTGGGATAAGCCTAAGATCACCATGAAAGGGACTTAACATGTAGTTTCAAGTAACTTTCCGCATGTCTGATTCACAATAACCCCCATAAAGTCTAAAATTTTGGCCCTAAAAAAACCCTGTGAAAAAAGTCCTTGTTGTAAAAACTATCTGGAAATAAAGTCCTACCATTTTAGTACTTTTTTTAGGACTTTTTTTCTGGTTCCAGTAGTATGATTTTATACAAAAAGTCTCCTGAAAAAGTTCTCTTATAGTGGAAGATGACAGGGAACAAAGGATGTTTCAACCATGGAAAGGGTAAATTCAATATGCAGATGAATAGAATAAAAGTTTTTTTTATGAAAACATCTCACACTTTTTTCCTTGTTTTGCTTTGTTTTGTTTTTCAGGACTTTAATTCCTGTGATCTTAATACCTTGAACTTTATTGGCAGCCTCTATATTATAGTAGAAGAAAAGTACTGGGAATCTAAAACGTTTTTATTTTCCAGGTTTTTTTCCTGTGACTTTCTTACATAGATTCGCGAACTAAATGCAAATACGCCAAATGTTCCCAATTATAAAATTCCTATAAATTCTAATACGCGGCCCAATCAATGCGGGTTTTTAAAAAATCTTATAGAAAAAAAACAACAATATTTTGACACATTTCATAATATGAATTCTGTTGTATCAAATAATCTTAGTTTGAAATATCACAGGTTTGTTCCGCCAGGTTGCAACGACAAGGGGATTAGAAACGCCAAATCCCTGTATTTCTAAGCCCTTGCATGAAAAAGTTGCCTGGATAGTAATTAACCAGTTCTGCATCGTCTTCCTCTTGTCCTTGGATTTGCCGCGTCTATGATTGATGAATAATCTAAGATTAATGGCGCTAGTTGTCGCTAATGCAAATTTATGATTGTGCAGAGAGAATACAGAGTATTGACCACCACTCACCAGTCTCAAATGTGGTTGTGTCCCACAATTTTGGTAAACCAAAAATCTGAATCAGTCAAACTTGAGAAAAAGTGTAAATCGGGAAAAGGGATCCATATCATAGCTAGAACGAAGGTGTTTAATTAAAATAAACGACTAAGGCTGATTGGTAAATATTTTTTTTCTTCTACAATTGAACAGTGGAGTACAGTAATGAGATGCTTTTCTAACACAGAATTCAGCTTAACTCTCACATTTGTCCAAGTTTGTGCTATAAAGTAAATATTTTACATTAGCTTGAAAATTATCTTATTTAGTGGAAAGGGTTTCTGTACAATGCATGATTTCGGTGTTTCATGTTTATTGGACTTTTTGAAATCACATTATCATGAGTATAACAGTCTTATTTACTTTACTGAACTGTTTAGGATATTTGGCATTTGTATGTGCACTGTATACACTGTACAGATTCTGTACACGTACAGAAATATACTTATTTTTTAGGTGTTCAGTTTATTCTTAATTAAACGCTATGATATGATCAAAATCTTGCAGTTTTTTATTTTTCAGGTTGTATTTTCAGGTTTTATTTCAGGTGGTATTTTCAGGTGGTATTTCAGGTGTTATTTTCAGGTGGTATTTTAGGTGGTATTTTCAAGTGGTAATAAAAGATTTTCGTTCAATCATCAGTTATGAAAAAAAAATGCATTAAAAGTTCAACAATCCTCGTATAATTCATTTTTACACGGAATAATTGAATGAATAGCTGATGATGATGATGATAAAAGGTGGATTTTGCACCAGAACATAATACGTGAGAAATCATGCCGACACGCACACGTGAGAAATCCATGCCAAGTCACCGACACGGACTTCCGGAACAGTAACTTTTTCAAACATTTATTAGTAATTGATATAGATGCAAAATCATAATTATTGGAAGAAATTGATTTTTATCAATTATTTTTATTTTTATTATTATTATTATTATTGCACTGAATTTTACAAGTTCAAATGTATATTTAGAGAAACCAAAAAAAAGAGAAACAAAACTAAGAACTATCTTTTTACAGAATAAATTGAATTTCTTTTTTTATTCTTGTGTTATTTTTATTATATTTTTCTTCACATTTGAATACGTTTATAGCTAATAACTAGTTATGATTAATGTTTACTATCGGTCAATTAGTTTCCAGAAAATAATCAGTTACCTGTCAAACACATTAATAAGTTTATTTGGTGTTGTCTTTTTATATTTAATTAGAAAATATTGGTGTTTTATTATTTTAATAATAATCATCGGCAAGAGCAAACATTAAGAAAATATTTGTACTTTACAAAATCAAAAACATTCAGTTCCTTGTTAAATGCTTGGCTTTTAAACACGTCAAAACTATTCAGTAAATTGAATTTAAATGTGAAATATTATCATTTTTAATCTTAACTCCTATTAAAAAGCTATAAGAAAAAGAAATGTTTGAATTTCTAATATGAAACCAGATAAATTTGCTTTTCACATACATCACGGGCAGCCGTAGTACATTTGAATTTCCGAGCCGGGTCAACCTTTCCGGTCCCAGTTAGTACTGTACCTAGCTCTAAGGACAGGACTAGCCGAAGCAACAAGGTTGACGCGGTCAAATTTTATGCTTCATATAGGCTTTATTTACTTTTATTAAAGGGGCAGATTTGCGTGACATGTACGTAAAAAATCTAGAGGAGCTCCGAGGTCACAAAGTCGTTGTTATGCTTGAATTTTTCTTGTAGTAAGTTTAGCTCTAAATTGTTACGTTAGTAAGTTGCAATAATCTTATCCGCGTATACCTTGATTAATTTCGCAGATTTTTTTTCTGTTTTCTCTTTGTGGATTTCAGACCATTTTTGAAAAATGAAATTACCCTTATTACTTTGATTTCAACCGGTTATAAATCTTCAACCCCTAGGGTCAAGTATAAGTTACCACATTTAATACAAATAAACAGACAAGCCAAAGTTAGTACTGAAGAAATATCCTAAATCAAATAAAATATTTATTCTATATATCATGTGTCCGAATTTAATGAATTTGAGCCGCGACTTAAATCTGCCAAAAGCCGGTTTCAATTGAGCGCCGGCTTAAATCTTGAAAAATGTAATACAATTTTAAGTGGAATCAACCATAATTGAGCCGAGGTTTAAATTTAAGCCGCGGCTAAAATTCTTTGAATTCGGCCTCTGATGTTTTTGTAAAAAGTTTTGATCATCATGGTATACAAAATCCAACTTTTCTCTCTAGAAACACAGATACGAAATTAAAATTTTTAAACAATGAATTAACAACCTTATACAAAGTCAAACTAAAAAAAACACAAAAACACAATTGAACTAAAAAAAACTTATTATTGTTTTTTTTTTCTTCAGAAATTCTCAGTCTAATATTTCGATACCCCCCCCCCCCCTCTCCTTTTATGTGTAACATAAATATTTTTCTGTATGAAAGGGGATAAAGCCATGAAAGATATTCTATAAATGTTAAATGCATGTCTCTAATAAGCCGATAAATCTGATTTTATAAAACTTTCTTCTTACATGCAATCAACTGATTATCATTTTATTACTTTTTTTTTGAAAATATTAATATAATATTTTCTTGTGTAAGTTCTATATTATAAAGTGATTTAAAAGACATTAGACACGCCATTCTCGTCTACATCACTACATCAGGCTATTTTTCAACCTAAAGTAAAAAATAATCATTCCAACATTTTTTTTTGGCTCCGTCAGGTCAGACGCATCACAGAAATGGTTGAAACGTGTTAAAATCTAATTTAAGAATATTTTAGAGTTTTTAATTAAACAAAGAGCTGTGAAACAGTAATTTTATTTTTACAATTTTTTAAAAAGTACTTTTCTTTCATTTTGGACAAAGCATGAATTAAAATTTGCTTCAGATGGTTTAAATCAAGGTTTAGAGGATTATCATGGATGATCTTCAATATTCTACACATTAAACTTATTTATTTACTTAACCATCCCGATTGGACTAATTTGGTCTATCATAGATTGCTCTCAATAAAATCTTCGGGGGGGGGGGGGATGAAAAATACTACCCCCCTTAATTGTGATAGGGTTAATAACTTTTCTCCGGTTCTCTCAAGATAAGTGTACAACGTACAGTTAATATATCTAGCTGGGTGTCACTATAGTTTTAGGAGAAGTAAATTTTTCCATAGGATGTTTAGCTACGATATAAGGATTCATCTCTTTTTTGAATGATGAGATAGATAGAAAGATAGATGATACTGCCAAGCAATATCTATTGGTTCAGAATAGACACCAAACACATCTCTGAACCCTGATTGAATCGCATACAAGTGTACATACATGTATCGCAAGCATATTCTGGTCTTGTACAGTTTATATATCTAGCTAGATGTACTGTATATCCTAGACATGTATACAGTTTATATATCTGGTTAGATTTACTGTATATCCTAAACATGTACATTTTAAATATTTAGATGTACTGTATCCTAAGCTTGTTCGGATTATATATCTAGATGTACTGTATATCCTAGAACTGTACAGTTTATATATTTAGGTGTACGGTACGGTAGGGAGGTTTACTCCTGGCTGGTATGGAGAAGATGGTATACAAAATAACAGGTAATATATACAGGGCTACCCACACAGGATGTTACTTCAGAGACGACATTCAGTCTTTGTACTTAAACTCATGATTTCTTACATTTGTTTCTTTCCATCGTTGTTTTTGTTTTTGTTTTTGTAACTAACTCAAGTTTTCTAATTCTTATATCTTTTCAACCTGATGGTGTAAACCTTAGATTTTGCTAATTTAGATAATGTAATCTAACAGAATTCAAAGTTTAAAATATCAAAGTTCAACGATATTGGATTGCAAAGATATAGGGATTAGAAAATCCGAGTTTGCGGTAAAAACTCAGTTCCTGTATTCGGTTTCATATTATAAATTCAAAGAATGTTGTTCTTCTCAAAAGCTCTTCAATAAAATGATCTGTGATAAAACTATATCGTAAGATTTGTCATATTAAAACAACTATCAGAATAGAAAAGAAGCTGGATTTCATCATTTTTGTCTGAAATTGATAGTTGCCTTGTGTAATAATATTATTTTGAAAACGTACAAAAAAATACGTTTTCTTATTTTTTTCTTTCATTTTGTTAAAAAACGGGTTTAGATCAAAATTTTAAAAATGTTGAACGAAAAATATCTTCATTATTTAATATGTTCGCACTTCCTTAAACTAATCAATCATTTGGTTTTTACAACGGATATCAAGAATTATAAAACTGGAAGTAAAATTAGAAATGATTTATTGGACTGAGCAGAAAGTTCCTGGATCTATATAATTTTATCATAGAACAGACAGACTAGAAAATAGTCAGTAATGCAATAAATCTAGGATGAGTTTTGATATTTTGAATTAGAAAAGAGTGGGAAGGTAGCTCCATAAGCCGCTTATAAATGCATAATTAAAAGCCCATCTGAATGCATCTCAATGCATAATTAAATACTTTAAATATTATCCCTATATCCTCATATCCTTTCATCATAGTTGTGTAAATACCAAATATTTCAAAATTAGATTATTTTATCTATTAGTATTCATAATTTGAATAATAAGATAATACGACATTGGTTTGCTAAAATATCGGGATTAGAAAATCAGAGTTTGTGGCAAAGAATAAAAAAAATAAAAAAATAAAAATCAGGAAATATTGTAAAAATGGCTTTCTTTATTTTTTAGTATCCCTGCTTATCCTAAATTTGCTTTCTGTTTCGCATAAGTTATAAGAAATTGTTATTTTTAATTTTAGTTTAATGAATAATTTATTCTCTAAACTTTAGTCTAAACAATTTTTCTATCACAATTCGTTGATTTTAAAATGTAAAACAATTTTGGATGATTTTTAAAAATTGTCAGAATAAAACAACTTTATGGAGTAAAGTCATTACGAAATGGAAAAGATAACTGCATGAATTTTCATTTTTTATGTAAATATGTTCAAACTGAAATTCAGTCTTTACCTAATTATGTTCATTGTAAACAAACTGACATTAACTACTTTTTCTTTACCATTAGAAAAAATTAAGAAGTTGCAATTTGCTATATTTTTTTAAATGTGGAAACAGCTGATTAAAGCCCGCCATTTTTTTATTTGCGGATTTTCGATCACGTGTCCTTAAATATGACCCTTGACAGACGCCATTTTGATCCTTTACATAGTACCCTGGGATACGCTCATAAATACGTTTGAAACCAAACAATGCAAGTTTGTTTCATAGCCTTAATCTGTGTATTGTACAATGTGCATATTTACGAACAATGTAAATACATATATTAGTTTTATGCGCAACTAGCAGTGGATAGGCATAAGAATATGATTTTCTTTCTAAACCGATGAGTTGGGGTTTGAGGGGGCGAAAAAAGAAAATTCCGTCTGAACACTTGCAACTCTATATTTGTTACAATTCGAATACCCATGCAAGCTAATGTCACATATTTATTACTATAATTCTGCTTGATCCTTTAGTCCAAGTTTGAAAAATCAAAAGTCTTAATTTTATTTGCCTAATATGTTTATCTATATTCTGTTTGTTTTCTGTTTTTATCTAATTAAATGACCACAAGGGAAGATTTGAGGCTTTCCGAACTTTCAATTTGAAAACATGCTCCCTCAAAGCCTAATAAGAAGGTTTGTGTAGGAAAAACATGTTGAAAATGATAATGTTTTCTGATCCCAGGTGTGCTACTGGATGTCTCAAGATTTCGGATCCGGATTCTTATTACACGGATTCAACCTCAGAGCAGAGGATGAACGAGGCCAGCTTTCTGGATTCATCCGATATCTATGAGATACCGGAGGGGAATGAGGATGAGGACGGGGAAAAGGACAAAGACAATGAAAAGGACAAGGAGAAGGACGAGGAGAAGGACAAGGAGAAGGACGAGGAAGAAACCAAAATTATTTCGACTGAAAACACAAATGTAGAAACTTCGTGTGATACAATTATTTGTGAAAAGTCTACTGAAGATCTGAAAACAGCTGAACATGAAAACAGCCGCGAGAAAGAAGCAAAAGCTGAAAATGAAGAAGATGATGATTTTGGAGAGATAAAGAACAGTGATGAGAAGTATGAAGATGAAGAAAAGGTTGACCAACTTGAATCTAGAATAAAAACTCTGGAGAATAATGTTCTTACTCTCAAAAAACAGCTGTTTAGCAGTTCCTTAAAAGTGTGCAATCAGGTCAGAATTTTTTTGTTTCTTAAAAATTTTATTTAAGAAACGTTACTCAATTTTTGTTTGTGGGGTCAACGGGTTAAAGAATGTTTTTTTTGTTTATTTTTAACTCATCGATTAGAAAAAATTAATAAAAATTAACATTGTGACAATTCTATGACGATTCTATTTTTTTAAAAATTTTATTAGTTTATCCATTTATGGAAATAGTTTTAATTTTCATGACAAGTCTGTTGGTTTATGCACAATTTTGTCTATTTTTATGGCAACTGATGTTGATTTATTTTTATGGAAACTGATGTTGATTTATTTTTATGGCAACTGATGTTGATTTATTTTCATGGCAACTGATGTTGATTTATTTTTATGGCAACTGATGTTGATTTATTTTCATGGCAACTGATGTTGATTTATTTTTATGGCAACTGATATTGATTTATTTTCATGGCAACTGATGTTGATTTATTTTTATGACAATTTCAGTTTTCAAAAAGAATGATATCAATGTGAGAAAGCACAAACAGTGCTTCCCAATAAATCAAAATATTTCTTGATAATTTACTTCTTTATTTTTCTTTCGTTGAAAAAAACGTCAAAATAGGAAAACCAAGAACCCAAAAAGGATAATTTGTGAATATACTGAGATCTAACTGTCCTTTAAACAAATGCTATGCGATAGCAAACAATGTACAAAACTCTTTCTTTTAACGCCATGATTGAAATAGAAATTAACGTTAGAAAAACGGATCAATTAGTTCTATATTTTAATGTTTAAGCTTTAGCCTTTTCAATGAACAGCTTGTATTTTATTTTATTTCTAAACCTTATTTTGAAAGTTGTTAAATAACTTGTTAAAGAACTTGTTATCTTCGTTATGAGTTTAACAAACTTTTTAAACTTATAATGAAACAATTTTGCTTGTAAGGTGTGAACCAAGGTTATTTAAACATTAAACTATTTTTTGTAACTATTGAATTCGTTGTCAAGGGTTTTTTATGGATTTAATATAGGAATTTGAAAAGATATTTTTCATAAAGGAATTGAGTCTTTGCCACAAATCTGATTTTCTAATCACTATATCTTTGGAACCAAATGTTGCAGACCTTAGATATTTCAAACTATGAATTCTGTTAGATCAAGTAATCTGAGTTTGAAGTATCAAAGGTTTACAACATCGAGTTCTAAAGATATTGAGGATTAAAAATTTGACTTTGTTCCAAAGACTCAATTCCTTTATATAACTTTGTAAATAATTTTTTTACAAAAAAGTGTACTTTAGTTTCTGAGAGGAACGTACGTAAACAACCTCAGTGATTCTTTTGATTTGAATATCAAAGGTCTACAACACTGGGTTGTAGAGATAAAGGAATTAAGAAATCAGAGTTTGTGGCAATGACTCAATTCTTTTAATGACTAGCGAGACATGGTTGAATGGTGTAAACAAAACAAAAAAGAATCACTGAGTTTGTTTACGTCCGTTCCTCCCAGAAACTGCAGTACACTTTTTTTAAATATGCAAATTATACAAAAAATGTTATGAAAAATATTTTTTTCAAATTCCTAAATTGAATCCGTAAAAAAGCCTTGACAACGAATTCAATATTTAAAAAAACATAGTTTAATGTTTAAATAACCTTGGTTCACACCTTACAAGCAAAATGTTTATTTATAACATCGATTGAACTACTTTCCTTCTGCTTGAACTCCCAGCATGAGAATGGTTGAATTAACTTTGTCTACTGGGTTCAGCTAGCTCTTCCTATTCATTAATTTTGGTCTATATTTTTATCGGGACACACTGTTTGTATATTTTCACATATATTTACACAGAATTTAATTAATTTCATGAGACCGAATTAAAACACTTTTCTAATTAAACTCATGAATACTAAATACTAAAATTAATTTGATTTTGGAAAAGTTTGCAAACGAATACATGTTACAGTCAAAGTTTAAATATTTATCAGAATAAAAGAATTTAAACTTTGAGAAAGGATTTACACCATTAATATTTAATAAAATTGTTTAGAAATAGATAACGAAAACGAGAGTAAAATATAGTCATATAAACACAAATTAGCACACAAAAAATTTGTTTTCATGCTTTTATCAATATTACCTAGTAATCTATGCCAAAATGAAACTTGTGAAGAAAAAAATTCTACTCTTCTAATTCCATATCTTCGCAACTTGACATTGCAGTAAACCTTGGACATTTCAAACGTTCTTTATTCGATTTTAAAAAATTCGTAGTTGTAGATATCTTAGGTCTGCGTGACATTGGGTTCCAAAGATATAGGGATTAGAAAATTAGAGTTTGCAGCAAAGACTCAATTTCTGAATAAAAATATATCTTTGTAAAATAATGAAACATTGAAAATAGTAAAACTTGGTTTGTAATTATTTTTGTTTGGTGGGATGATAAAGATTTAGTCGTATTTTATTTCTATGTAATAAATGTATAGATTGAGAAGTAGTTTTAATAGGTACGGTGAGTTCAACTTCTTTTGCTGACATCTCATCTCAACTAGGTCGGTCCTGGTTCATCTTCCTCTCTAATCCATAATGTTCCAACTCTGGAACAGATTAAAGGATAAAAGTTGAGCCACATCTCGTATTCGCCGCCGGTTCAAGTTGATGAGACGTGGTTCAACTAAATCTAGGACTTCATCTTATTGTTTATTAAATTTGGTTCATATTTGATCTTCTGAAGTGGTAAAAAAAATATTTCTTTTAGGAAAAATTAATTCGAGGATTACGAGCAGCTGAAAAAGACAAATTATCAAGTATAACCCTCCAACTTTTAGAACTTCAGGTATAAAGTAAAAATGTATCTTTTAAAAAATACAATATATATACAAGAGATACAAGAGATAAAGGGGTTAAGGGATAAAAATATGTTATGTACATTGTACGTAAATATGTACAAAATATGTTATGTACATTGTACATAAATATGTACAAAATATGTTATGTACATTGTACATAAATATGTACAAAATATGTTCTGTACATTGTACATAACATATGTTCTGTACATTGTACATAAATTGATTAAATAGCGTCTTCTTACAATCAGGGGCTTACGAGGGGGCACACATAAATAATTTATTAACACTTGTTGTATGGAAGTGTGTACATGATCGAATAGTTTACATAGTTAAAAAGGTATCAATATTTTTTTCAAAAAAATATTTTCTCAAAATGTTGCCAGGGGGGGGGGCACAAAAATGTGCCCCCCCCCCCTACACAAATGCTCTCGCACGCCCCTGCTTACAATTTTTTATATTACAATATTACAATACTTATGTGATCATGGTCTGTTTTATTTTTACGAATTTTTTTTTTATTTTTAAATCATGTTTACTGAAATTTTTTTTACTTTGTTGATTTAGATTTTTTCCTTGCTTATTAATTAATTATATGTAAAGTATTTCAATCTCTGTGTGTATGTTTGAATGTCCAATATGATCATTACACAGAAACCCCATGAACGGTTAGAATTGGGGAACTTAGTAGAAACACGTACGGAAATGTTTTGTATAATGAACATTTATTCAGCAGGCAATCCTGAGTTCCCTTTAAAATAAAAAAAAAATAAAAAAAAGGGTTTTATCTGTGAATAATTTTTTTTCTTTAGGATTGTGTGCATTTTATAAAGTATCTATAAATAAATCATAAATCATAAATAAATTAGTAATCTCTGTTTGCCTGTTTCTTTATTGGATCTTCGAGCATAAGTCATGAACGTTTTCGACCGATTTGTATCAAATTTTTATTGTGGAACTCGGTCGAATTACGGGAATGTTTTAAGTTCTATAGCAGGGTTCCCCCAAGTTAGTGATTTGAAATAACTAAAATGATTGTTTTTAATATAATTGTTAAAATATTGTAAATTTTAAAAAACTTAAATGGTTTAAAAAAATTAATTCGTGTTATGATTTTAAATGATAAAAAATGTTGGTAACTTTTTTGTCCCATATTTAAATTGTTGTATACTATCCTTGATTTGAATGATCATCTGTTTTTCGTTTTATTGTTGGAAATTATTTTTACTTTTCTGTTTTTTTAAATCTTATTTTTTTAGTCTAATCTTCAGCGACGAGAGAAAGAGATTAGCAACGCTCTTCTCAGCAGGGATAAGGTTAGAACTCACTAAAGTCTTTAAAAGGGATTAAAGCATGCCAAAAGTAAAATAATAAAAGAAAAACAAATTTTCTAATCACTATATCTTTGGAACCAAATGTTGCANAACCCACAAAAATATTTTATAAGTTAAGAAAATGTATAACAATTAACAACAAAATAAAAACTTTTTACCACTAATAAATTTATCATTTATTAATTCAGTACATAAGATTTTTACATTTTATTTAATTGTATAAAATTTTTGCTTGTTTTTTTGTCATATAAGCAATACATATTTTGTCATATAACAATGTACATATAGAAAAATGTACATATAGTGCAATGTACATATAGTACAATGTAAATATAGTACAATATGCATATAGTACAATATACAGTGGAGATCCCAGAACATTCACTTTATTATACAGGGTGGCTAATATGTGATGAAGAAAATTGAATTTCAATAATAGCTCACATATAATATTATGTATATGCTAGATGAAGAGCCCGGCGTTGCCCGTGGGAAAAAATTTGAAAAAAGTAAAATGTTCACTTAGTACAATGTAAATATAGTACAAAATCCATAGAGTACAGTGTAAATATGTAGTAAATGTCGTACTCTTAAAGCTTCGTCCCAAACTGTATCAGTCCAGGTACAACCACTCCGCTATCAAAGTCAAACAGGACACGATCCACACGGCTACAATCCCGTAAACTATCAACGCCACTACCACTGGGTGCGATCTTGTTAGCTATTAGTGTCAATACGGTCACTACCTATTAATTGAGCTCTAAATGTGACACAGGGACACAAGCGTAGCTATCGGAGAAAGGGTAGATGCCGCAACCCTCATTTATCCGATGTACTGTATGTCACTACATGATCTATACCTATAACACCGATTCCCTTCTGTCCCTGATCGCTGTCCTTATTGCAAAGACGACGGATTACACCCCTTGGATAGCTATCTAACAAGCTATTAATCGAGCTCTAAATGTCACACAGGGACACAAGCGTAGCTATCTAACAAGCTATTAATCAAGCTCTAAATGTCACACAGGGACACAAGCATAGCAACAATTGCTCTTAGTCGTTCTATGGCAAATGCCCAGGCATGATCTCAGCTCGTATTATTATTATCGTATGGACTCAAATTGTTCTCCCCACTCTGTAATCAATGCGAAGTTTCTATATTAACTTATGTATTTGAAGTTTATATATTACAAGTTAAAGTTAATAGACGTAATTACAATTCCTATGTTGTTATCTATATCACATGATTAAGACAATCATGTTACGTATTACAGCACAGTTAAAAAAGACGCATTTAAGATATACGTCGTTATCTGTATCACATGATTAAGGCAATCATTTTGTATGTTACAGCACAATCAAAAAGACGCATTTAAGATATACGTCACTAAATATCACATGATTAAGCTAATCCTGCTACATATTCATTTGAAGCGCAGTTCAAATTAATAATGAGTTTTACATAGAAGTTTACAAACATAGATAGTTAATAATGTACAACGTACTGCAATTTACAGAATGTCGTGCTACCCGATATTCATTACGTATATAGTACAATGAAAATATAAAGTACAATGTATCCTTTACTCTCAGACAAATTAGAATCAATGGAATTTTAAACCCCCGAGGGATTCAATGATAAACCCGAGGGCAGAGTAAATGACATTCATTTGTATAAAATAACAAATTATTTTTATTATAAATAAATAAAAATTGTTGCATACCAAAAAACCAGCTTTTTATAAAGGAATGTATATTCAGTAAAATGTACATCCAGTACAATGTACAATATAGTACAATATGTGCATATATATTGCATAAATATGATCAAAAATACAATCTTAATAATTTCCCCTGGGAATTTTACTTATTGTTAATCAATCCCTTACTAATATAAACAATGTAGAATATGTCAAATATATCAGAAATATTGATAGTAATATCAATCTTACACAATCCAATATCTAATCATAGTTTATGTATTCATTTGTATATTGAAAAAAAGCTCAGAGAGGAGGGGTATTTGGTACAACCCCCCCCCCCATATATCTTAAATAATAGCCCTCGTATCTATAAAGATATAAAAGAGTAGCAGTATAAGCCTAACAAATATAAACCTAAATATGAAATATAATTAGTTTTCAAAATAAAAACATTGATATATAATTCATATTTCATCAGGCAAAGCTTTTAAGGGTACCGTAGTGATTCGGGCAATGCAATCTTGAATTTGCGCTACCAGCCCCTTAAAATGAAAATGATATATGAAAACTCGAATCTGTTTAGAGAATCCGAAGCCAGAGTAAGCTGATTGAAGAAATGATGCTCCAAAGATATAATACTTTACCAAAAACACTCTCCAGGAAAAAGTCATTCTTAATTTTCAGATTTTTTTAAATCTTTACAATAAACATACAAATATATATATTTGTAGATATGTATGTTAGCTATAGCTGGCCAAACAGCTAAACCAAAGTGGCAGACATCTGACTCTGATTTTCTAATCTCTATATCTTTGTAACCCAATGTCGTAGACCTTAGATATTTCAAACTATTAATACTTAAAGATAAAATAAGCTAAGTTTGAAATATCAAAGGTTTGTACCATCAGGTTGCAAAGATATTGGGATCAGAAGATTTGAGTTTGTGGCAAAACGTCGATTTTTCCCAAAATTCTAAATTTCTCTTCAAATTTGAAAGATTTCACAGGGAACGCAGGGTACAGCAGCTAGTCATAAATAAAGCTTGTAAACATTTATTAAGCTGATACTTAATGACAAATATAAATGACCTTTCTTAGTGACCGTTGTGACCGACGTCGGAATAGTTCAGGACGCAGCGAAGACTCCGACAGCGGAGTTGTTGTAACGGATTCGGACTACAAGGAACAAAATATTATCGAACATGTTTAATATACCCAATATCAAATACCCTAAGAAATAATTAATATTCTTTTATTCCTGAGCCACAAGAGCCACGTAAAACTAGTTTTAACAATGTATATCCTGTCGGTATCGGCATAATTTTTATCTCTATACAAAATCCGTCGAAAATAGCGTGAAAGAAATTTACATTAATATTAAGAATATATTGTTTAATAAAAAAGCAAATTACCAAAAATCTTCATTTAGTGGGTGAAACTGGGTTCCAAATTACCGAAAATCTTCATTTAGTGGGTGAAACTGGGTTCCAAATTACCGAAAATCTTCATTTAGTGGGTGAAACTGGGTTCCAAAGTTAACCAGAGCTGAAAACTTTAGAATGGTGGATATCAGGATTAATGCTTAATACGTTCCTTTTCTTAATATCCAGTTCAAATATTGCTTGTTCTCCACATGAATTTAAACTCCAGATTTAAATTTAATGAATTTAAACTCGGATATCTGGATATTAATTTTGTATTTTGCTTTTTCTCTAATTATATATTCCATAAAAAGTACGAGACACGTAAAACCTAGGATGATCATTTTAGAAAATTAATGGAGTCTTTTTTGAGTGTACTGGGGTGAATTGTTTGATTAGCCAGTGGTGAGCCAGGAGCTGCCGACCATAGTATTGTTCGGTCAGATCCTGTCCGCTATTAAGACTGAGTCCTAGATTCTATGTACTTTTTAATTTTTAGATTTTATTTTTTATTATAATAATACAGACTGGTACAGTCATAAAAATAATACAGACTGATTTAAAGTTTTATTTTGTTAGAAGGAGGATATTCGAGTAATCAGATCAATATCAGATGTTGTTAAAAATTCAAGAGTTGGAAAACTATTCTCTAGAGAACTACTTTTTAGGTTAGAAAAATCAAAAAAATAATAATAATAATAATAGTAACAATAATAATAATAATAATAATAATAATAATAATAATAAAAATAATAATAAAAAGTATGATAATTAATTATTTAGTATTCAAATTAGATAACCCCAATGATGATAAATTTTATTAAAGTCATATAGCTGAGTCGGAGACAGACAGTACGCTTAGTATCAATACAGAAATCGAGTTTAGGTAAATATAAATCAATTTGATCAATTATTAATGATAAAATCAATTACTTGTTGAGTTGAAATTAGAACAATCGTAAAATTAATAAACCAATAATCTACATTTGTTACAGACAGAAATCATGATTTAATTTGAAGACTTTTTAATTTAGAAAATCCGAACTTTTCTTGACTGGGTCCCCAGATTCTTGGAGCCAGGATACGGGGGGAGGCTTGAACACGCCCCCTGACATAAGAACGCCCACCCAGAGGGCGTATCTGAATCACCGGGGCGTAGTGAAACCCAAGGATGTGAAGTACCGGAGAATTACAAAAACCAAATCTAGGTCAATGGAGGAACTCAGAGAGAAACTAAGGTAAAGTTTTATGAAGAACTGTTTATAAAAAAATACAGAAAATGCATAAATCCCATTTTTGTTAAATCAAGTAAATTGCACGTTAGTTTGAAATCTTATATGTTTTCCATTATAACCCTCGTATTAAAGAGTTATTGAGAAAAAAGTTTTAATCTCTAAAATCCACTAGATAATGAAATTATGTCATTGCCACAAAAAAAATGTTCTAGCTCTTTGTAATTTGCAACCTGATGGCGTAAACCTTTGATATTTCAAACTCGGATTATATAATGTAACAAATTTTATAGTAAATAAGGGATAAGAAAGTCAGAGTTTATGGCAAAGATTCAATTACTTTGTGTATATGATTCAATCAGAGGAAGCTCGAATTTGGGGCATTCAGAACATTCTTTTTAATTTAATATTTTTTTTTCTGAAGATTTAAGCAATATTTCCGTTGATTGAAATTTTGTTTTTTAAGGATCGAGTCTTTATTTGAAGAAGATGCAGATTTCTGAGAAACGTTCCTCTTTGTTTTCAGTTTATCAGCAAATCATGTTCCCAAAAAACAAGATGAGACCTCACACCAGAATCGACTCTTTTTAATTTTTTTATTATTGTTAACTTACAATTAGACCCCTGGGCCATAAGTAAACAGACTTTCACTTAAAAAGTCGTACTTTTAGCTGGTTAAAATATTTGCTTTCTAAACAATATCAAATTCCCTTTAGATGGCTGAAATTTTATCTTACTATTCCACATTCTTATGGGCCACACTGTATGTTTATGCAATAAAATCATTGATAGGGAAAGGTGTCAGTTAAAAAATAATTGGCCTTATCAGTAAATTTATATTCTTTATATTACACTGAGGGAGAAGCAATAAATATATATTATAAAGATTTCATGTTAACCAAGTTAAAAATTGAAAAACCAATTTAAAGGTTTATATATCATGATGCTCAATCTAAACCTAATCAAGGGAGAATTAGGATTTTACATTTTCTAAACAGAGGTTAAAACTTTTGAAGTGGTAATCCCTTCAGAGAGCATTAATCCCTTCAGAGAGCACAAATCCCCTCAGAGAGCACTAATCCCTTCAGAGAGCACTAATCCCTTCAGAGAGCACTAATCCTTCAGAGAGTACTAATCCCTTCAGAGAGCACTAATCCCTTCAGTGAGCACTAATCCCTTCAGAGAGCACTAATCCCTTCAGAGAGAACTAATCCATGTCTGAGATAATCCTACGGATTAAGTAAATATCTTTAATCTTCTTAAATATAATTCAAAAAGAATCAACTGAATCCCCTGCTACAAGAAAATATGAATCAGTGCTTTCTGAAAAGATTTACGGTTCATAAGTTCGAACTTCTGAAACCAGCAAGAAAGTTTATAAATTTTTTGTATGTTGTCTTGACGTATCTTTATTCAACCTAACCTGCACCCCCTCCCCCCTACCTCCATTCTATTCGACTCAAGGTACTCCTATTTCTAAATTGTGGTCTGTCTGTTTTTACAGCATATTGAGAATATATGCTGAATTACTTATAGAAGGAAAATAGTCGTGATTTAAAGGACCCTCCGTTTAACAAAAAACTGTCTGATTCACAACAGTACCCTAGAAACCTTAATACTTCATCAATAATGATAAAGAACGTCGTTTTTTGGTTTACCAAATATTTCATTCTCATAATTTCCCACTATTTCTGAAGCAAGAAAGGCTCAACACTTCTGTATGCCGAGTCCATTTTCGCCTGATCCAATCAGGGTTCAGTTATGTGTTTGTTGTCTATTCTGAACCAATAGAAATAGTATGGCGGTAACATCTATCTTTCTATCTATCTCATTATCCAATTAGAGATATGAATCCTTCAATCGGCGCTATCAGTAAATGGAAATATTTACTGAAACTATAAGTAACAACTTCAGGTCACTTTTTGAGAAATCTCCAATAAGTTTTCAAAAACTAAAACATGGAAATCAAATTCACTCTTAATTTGACCAAGTTTTCAAGGGTACCATTGTGAATTCGGAAATGCCACGCTAAAAAAATTAAGTCTACAGTCCTTTTAATGATGTATTAATTACTTTTATTATCTGCATAGGTTATTGTTATGTGTAAAAATGTGAAGCATACCTAAAATAAGTTTAATAACTGTGATAATATAATATAATTGTAAACCCTAGTCCAGGTCTAATATAATACAATTGTAAACCCTAGTCCAGGTCTAATATAATACAATTGTAAACCCTAGTCCAGAACTAATATAATACAATTGTAAACCTTAGTCCAGGTCTAAAACATGAATCTTGGAAGATGAAAATAAATGAGAACTTTAAACTGCCTTGGATTTAAATATTTTAAATATTTTAGCATAAAAATGAAATTTCTAAAACTAAGATTAGTTTGACATTTAGAAGTTAAAGTTTATTTTACTAAATGTCATTTCTACATTGATTGACAGTTAATGTCGGTTGGTATTAGGATTTGTAGATTTTCTTAAATGATTTAGATAATTTTTTTTCTTCTAAAAGCAGTTAATACAAATTCTCTGTTTTCTGTAATGGGACATGTGTCGACAATTTATCTGTTTTTTTGATTGGGACATATGTAGAAAAAGTTTTTTGTTTTTTGTAATGGGATATAGGTAGACAATTTATCTGCTTTATGTAATTGGCACAGGTTTACAATTTATCTATTTTCTGTAATGGGACATTAATAGACAATTTATCAGTTTTCTGAATGGGACAAACTTAGTCAATTTATCTATATTCTGTAGTGGGACATAGGTAGGCAAGTAATTTGTTTTGTGGATTGGGACATAGGGAGACAAGATATCAGTTTTATGAATTGGGACATAGAAATACAAGCTATATGTTTAAGATAGAGAAACAAAGATATCTTCATCGCCGATTCTTAGAAAAAAAATAATGATGTGAAAATAAGTTTCTGAAATTCTACAGTTAATACAGTTAATATGAAAATAGATAAAATATTCATTTTGTCAATTAAGTTTTCCGTTCTTGACATTTGAAATTAAAAAACAAAGTAAATAAAGAAAAATTTCCCAACTTAATTCTTACAGAGATAAATAAATATTACAAATAAATATTACGAGGCCTGAATTCTTGAATAAAACCGGCATGTTTTATAGGAAAAACCGTTACCGCCAATTTAGCCATTTTTAAAATCCGCCATTTCAAAAATCCAAAACATCACAACTAAAAAAAATCTCCGAAACGTGTCAAAATTAAAAATACTGACTATTTATTTTTATTTCAATATTTTTTAAAGTTTTCATATATAGCCAAAAAACATTTTTTTTGCTTTAATTTATCTTATATTATCAACAAAATTTTCTCACTCAGTTTTTCAAGACGGATCTTTACATATCAATATTGATGTGTTTAGAAGAATTTTTTTCGCTTGCAAAATATTATTCAACCTTAAAGGAACTGAGTTTTTGCCACACACTTAAATATTCTTATCCCTATATCTTGGCGACCCAATGTCGTAGACCTTAAATATTTCAAACTATTAATTCTGTTAGATAAAATAATCTAAGTTTGAAATATCAATGGTTTATACCCACTGGTTGCAAAGATATAGAAATTAGAAAATTTGAGGTTGTGGCAAAAACTCAATTCTTTTCATGAAAACTGGTTTCCGGTTGGCAATTTCAACTTGCGAAAAAATCGTTTTTTTCTAAATGTTGTTTTAATATTCAAATCTACTCCTATGCACATAGAGCGGAGTGGAATGGTAAAGATTGAAACACTGTGGACACATTTTAACATTATTAATTTTATATTTTATATTTGAAATTTCGCCAAATATTTGCTGTTTAAGCTGTCAACTTTAATACAATGTTCAAATTTTCACAGTGGGTGAACTGGTTTACAAGAATATATCCCTTCCTACAAATACCACTGTGCACTGTTGGATAATTCTTCTTTCCGCGAATTCATCTTAACATTATTAAAAATCAGTTTTCTACAAATATGTAAAATGTAAAGTACATCTTTTAAACCAAAGCTAAAACAAGTATACGTGAGTGTGCGATGCAAAATCAAATGCCAAGGCCTTGCGACACTTCAAAGTCAACCCAGCCTTGAAAATCGTAAAGTTGCTATACCAGTCTTTTTTTTTTTAAATCCTAAAATTCCCTTGATACTTAAAACTTTTGGATTATTGATCTATCTGAATATCAGGTTTCAAAGATTATAAAAACTTTGTTTAAGGCGAGGAATCAGGCCCTCTGTGAAATCAACCTCTTAGATTACTGAATAAGTATCATGGTTTTGAGGACGTCTTTTGAAGAAAACCATGTGCATTCAATCAATAAAGGAAAAATAACATTACCTTTAATTAAAAGTAATTATTATTTCTGTGTAGTGTGTACAGCGTACACAATTACAGTGTTCTCAAAGTAAGCTAATAATTAACGAAATTGGATTTTTTCGCTTTTCTTAATATTTTGGAAAAAATTGTAAACTGTCTGAAGATGCAAAAAAATATATAATATTGGAATTCTTAAGGTAATATGAATACATTGATCCCCAAAATAAAGTTTATATATTTATCATTTCAAAATGGTCCTCGAAAAAAAGGTTTAAATTGTTTATTGGTCCCTCAAATAAACTTAAAATTGTTTAGTGGTCCCTGAAATAAAGTCTAAATTGTCCAGTGGTCCCCAAAATAAAGTTTAAATTGTTCAGTGGTCCCTGAAATAAAGTTTAAATTGTTTAGTGGTCCCTGAAATAAAGTTTAAATTGTCCAGTGGTCCCTGAAATAAAGTTTAAATTGTTCAGTGGTCCCTGAAATAAAGTTTAAATTGTTCAGTGGTCCCTAAAATAAAATTTAAATTGTCCAGTGGTCCCTGAAATAAAGTTTAAATTGTTTAGTGGTCCCTAAAATAAAGTTTAAATTGTTTGGTGGTCCCTGAAATAAAGTTTAAATTGTCCAGTGGTCCCTGAAATAAAGTTTAAATTGTTCAGTAGTCCCTGAAATAAAGTTTAAATTGTTCAGTGGTGCCCGAAATAAAGTTTAAATTGTTCAGTGGTCCCTGAAATAAAGTTTAAATTGTCCAGTGGTCCCTGAAATAAAGTTTAAATTGTTCAGTGGTTCCTGAAATAAAGTTTAAATTGTTCAGTGGTCCCCGAAATAAAGTCTAAATTGTCCAGTGGTCCCTGAGATAAAGTTTAAATTGTTCAGTGGTCCCTGAAATAAAGTTTAAATTGTTCAGTGGTCCCTGAAATAAAGTCTAAATTGTCCAGTGGTCCCTGAAATAAAGTTTAAATTGTCCAGTGGTCCCTGAGATAAAGTTTAAATTGTTCAGTGGTCCCTGAAATAAAGTTTAAATTGTTCAGTGGTCCCTGAAATAAAGTCTAAATTGTCCAGTGGTCCCCAAAATAAAGTTTAAATTGCCCAGTGGTCCCTGAAATAAAGTTTAAATTGTTTAGTGGTCCCCAAAATAAAATTTAAATTGTTCAGTGGTCCCCGAAATACAATTTAAATTGTCCAGTGGTCCCCGAAATACAATTTAAATTGTCCAGTGGTCCC